TATGGCTCTTTGCTCTTCGAGCATAGCATATCTTTTCCCATTGTAAGAGTGACATAGTATGTATGGGTTCAGTGGACCCTTGTGACTCGTCATTACTCCATTCGTTGTTTTTCCGCACGTTCTAAATGCTTGTCTTATCGTTGTCCAGACGAATTGCGAAATTCAGTTATTTTTCCTACTTTGTACCCTATAATTTTCGAAAAATTTGATTTGTGGGCAGTTTAGATGGAGGATAGACATATAATTTTCTGACTAAAATATTTTTTGGCTCCATAAACCCTAAATTGTCCTCTTTCGAAGAGGCTGTTAGACTCACTGATCTTGCCAAGCACAAAACTAGTCGGTTGAGATTGTGAAAGTATGATAGAACCAAAACATGCTTACCACCATAATTTTGGCGAAATTATTTCGGCTGCTTGAAAGTGGAGTTTGCAGTACAGTATGTCAATAAGCGGCAGGAACAGCTGGTTACAGTATTGTCTTTTTCTCTAGTCAAAAAATTACGAAAAATTAAGTTAAAGTCCATTTTTTACAAAATCGAATTTTAGTTGCTGTTAGGGCAATAATCCGAATTTTTCGCTTTTTAACTTGTTTTTGATAATTCCATCAATTATGTTTTCACTCTGTTACAAATCTAAAATGTTATTGTTCTGCCTGTTTACGAGAGCACTAACAGAATTTTTGGAGACCGCCAAAAACAACCCACATTGCTAGCATGTATTGGAGAGTAGGAGCGCTCTCTCGCTCTCTATTGACAAAGCATTGCTTTTCATCGTATGCTCTCTGCTGTTGGCATAGATGTTCGGCTGATAGAGTCGTCGAGAAGTAACTCGACAGCGCTCGGACTCTCTAATCTGCACAGTTTCTCGAAATTTCTGACTGCTTGTATCATGGGTACTGTAGATCTTTGACTTATAGGCAGTGTCTTGACAATTTTGTATACCTAGGTTTTTTGTGTCGAAATTGATTGGGGAGAATTACACAAGCTATTGCCCAAACGGCATTTCATATGATGCACTCGTGGCTGAGAAATTTGACTT